TATTATTGCTAATGGGTTTCTTTGTAAGTATTTACTGCTTTTAGATGTGGCAGTTCATTTGTTTTTTGGTTTATTGTGTGTGCAAATACTCACACTACTGTTTCAATTAGATAAAGAATCATAAGTTTGAAGTTTTGAAACCTGAATTAGAATTTGAACAAAAGTACAATTATCTCTTTCAGAAGAAATGAGAAATGATTCATCCATTTACTATTTAGTGTAAGGAAGGAAGATAAATAACACCTCATTGTTGCATATGTAGCTCAGGAGATATGTGTTGCTAGTGTGGCATTGCAGCTAATAAGGTAGGGTTCTTGTGTAGCTTTAAGTTCCCGGTAGCATCTGGCTTTTGTGAGTACACTGGGAATAAATTATTCCTTTGTAGGAGAATTCATTACCAGTAGATAGCTCATAGCTGAATTACTTATGGGAATTACAGAAACCATATTTTTCTGAAATTAAAAAAAAAAAGATCTTTTCAAAACCAACCTTTTGTTGGCATGTTAACAACCAAATAATTGTTTTGGAATATTTACTGCTTCATATATCTTTGCCAGTCTTTGCTTTCAATTGCATTTTGGAATTAAAAAAAAAAGATACCTTTTTCCATTTGGAATAAAATACTCCTCAACTTGATAAATGAATGAAACTTGGCAAAATACATAGAATTTGCAACTCCCAGACCAAAGAGAGACTGTTAATTGGAAAACATATATTTATATTCAAATACTAGGCCCATGTATTACATTGGAATCATTCTAGGTATCTTTGTCCTTGTTTTCAATTTTAATTTTGGGGATAGAGGAGGATGTGTCCCTAGGCTGTTCATTTCTGATCCCATAACATGAAATTTTTATCTTTTTTTTTTTTTGTAACCAAGCATTCTTTTAAAACACACTAGTTCCTTTAAACATCTCTATACACTTCCCCAAATTATTTTCCTCCTCTAGATTCATATCCTTTTTCTCCATCACTTCTGCATTTAGTCTGTCCAACTTGTAATTAATAAAAATTCACTACTGCCTATGACTCCTTTCTTTTCTTACCATATGTAATAATCTTCTGAGTGATGAATTTCAATTTCTATACTGTAATATTCAAAGTAGACTAATAACTAATATAAACCAAACATGTTCTGCCAAAGTTCTCATGTGAATATACTTGAAAACCTAATTAGCATGACTCCTATCTTTGCATATCTATTTATCTTCATGTGCGCCATTTGTTGGTGGGGATAATTTCTCTCTTTTCCTTTTCTGTATCTACATGAGTAATCTTTGTACTTAATATGGCAAACATTATTTGTTACTGAGTAATGGAAGACGAACTTTTTATTATTTTGCAAGATAAAAATAACAGGATATTGGAAATACATTCCATGTTCATGGGTTGGAAGAATCAATGTTGTTAAATATCAATTATTTTTGCATCCATCTATTCTTTCAACACAATCCCAGCAAATTCTCCATCAGCAAAACTGTCTAATATTCATATGATAAGAAATAAGGTGTAGAATAGCCAATCATATGCATGTCGGGCATTTTCCCATGTTCCTCTTTGTTACCTGCACACCTTCTTTGATGAAGCATCTGTTCAGATATTCTGTTTAGTAATTGGTTTCTTTTCCTTTGACTGAGTTTTTAGAGTTCTTTCTTTAATTTGGGCATAAGGACATGAATAGGATATGCCTTGCATGTATTTTCTTCCTGTCTGTGCTCTGCTTTTTAATTCTCTGAGCAGTGTCATTTGAGGAGTCAGAAATTTAAATCCACCCCCGCCCCATCGATGATGCTCTCACAGTTGTGCTAAAAAGTTCATCTCCAAACCAAGGAGACCTAGATTGTCTCTTTATTTTATTCTAAGTGTCTTATCATTTTCACTTTATATTTAGGTGTGTTTTCCATTCTTACATATATTTTATGGAAGGCATATGGTCTATACCTATACTGATTTTTTTGAACATGTGAGATCCCCTGTTTTTAAACTGCCTTTAACCCAAGAGGAAAGATTACCCTTTCTCTGTTGTATTGCATTTATCAGAGATCAGTTGATGGTGTGGGTTTATTTTTGGGCTTGCCATTCTGTTTCTCTGATCTCTGTATCTGTTCCTGTGCCAGGAAGTACAAAGTCTGGCAGTTTGCTCTTTATAGTCTGGATTACTGTATCTTTACACTCTGTCTCACGATCTAGTAATGTGAGTCCCTCAACTTTCTTTTCTTTGGTATAAGAATGTGCCATTAAGTTAGTGCACGTTACAGTTAGAAGAACCATGAGACACCTCTACACAGCCACTACAGTGCCTAATCTCAAAAACCTTGAGAATTCTAACTCATAGTGAGGAAAAAAAAAAGCAATAGGAACTTATATTCATTGTTGGTGGGACTACAAAAGAGCATCACCACTGCAAAATCATTTGGCTACTTCTAAAAGCTCAACATCATCTTGTGCTATCCAGAAATCACCTGCCTTTCCATTTACCCAGCCAAACTGAAAGGTTATGTGTGTGTACACACACACACACACACACACACACACCCTACTGGGAATATTGATAGAAACTTTATTTCCAGAAAAAAACTTGAAACAACCTAGATATACTCTCACAGATGAGTAAATAAACCAACACAATTCAATGGCAGACAAATACATAAACAAGCTGTGCAATAACATGAATGTATATTAAATGTATATTATTAGATTTAAAGGAAAGCCAACCTGAGAAGGTAATATAATTTATGATTCCTTTGGTATGGCACTCATGAAAAGAAAAAACTGCAGAGGGATTGGGAGGGGCTGAATAGGTGAAGCAGTGGGCTTTTCTGAGGACAATCAAAGTAATTTCTTTGATAATGTAACTGCATATATAGTACCATACAGTTTTCAAAACCAATGGAACTTCACAGAAGAAAAAGAAAAAAAATATGTGAATAGTTTCAACAATTACATGAGAAGTTAAGGCTCACAGGAGAAAAATATAAATTATATTTATTTTATATGTAAAATAAATAAATAAATGATTTATCCATATAATGTATGAAATCACCTAACTCACATGAGGGCAAAAAAGAGGAGAAGATGCTAATGTGGGTAACTTTGGAAAAGAATGAAGAGTGCAAGCCTGAAATTAAAAGGAGCAGCACATAAATGCCATATCCTACTTAATAAATCATTCCCCGTGGGGGTCTCATTAGCAATTCTGAAACTAGTGTACATGTAGGCTGGGACCATTAGTTAAATGGACAGTAGGTGGGAGGATCCATGTTGGGGTGGGAATTTACAAACAAGCAAGAAAATAAGGCTAGAACAATTGTAGGCTATAATGGATTATGGTTACAGACATCAGCATGGAGCCATATTTCTTTTAATGTAGACATAGATATATATGTATATAGGTAAAGAAATTTATGGAGATAAATAAATACATGGGTTAGTATACACACATATTTTTTGCTCTATAATCTGAAAGAGAAACAATGATGTTCCAGTATCAATGAGCACACCTAGCTCCCAGATTTTATTTAGATTTTTAGTACTATTCTAAATAAATCAGACTTTCTTTGTCATGACAGCTATTTCTAGACTGGGTTAGGAGTTACACCAAAGAAGATGATATACCTTTTAGTTCCATAAAATAAATACATGCCTTCTAACAAATCTGTAGGTTTGGTGGGGGTTGTGTATATCAAAAGGACACAGGAAAACTCAAAGAAGTTCCAATGACTAAAGGTAAAACAATTTGAGCAATAAATAAACAAAGTAATACTAGTTTTTTACCTAAAGTATAAAATTCACATCCATGTGTCCAAACTGATATAAATAACTAAAAAATGAAATGAGAGAATAAATAAGTCCTCTGTAGAAAATTCCAAATAAAGTTACTTGTAATACTATAATTGGTGAATACTGTACTGTCGAAGAGGTAGAACATAATCTCCTCCCTTAGCATGGACTATACAAAATAAAATCCTTCCCAAGAGTACAGATCTCCAGCAAACCCTTCCCCACAGGTGATCAAAATCAACTTCCACAGTGATAAATCATACTGATGCTCCACAGCTTGGGGACAATGTGATGGGAATGGACTTCCACTTCTGTGGTCTCTGAAACCCATAGTGCCCATCTAGTCATGGAGAAAAGCATCAGACAAATGCCCATTGATGGATAGTCTACAAAATACCTCACGGCATTCCCCCAAACTGTGGAGATCATCAAAAGCAACTAAAATCTGAAAAAGAGTCATAGCTAGAAGAGTCAAGAGGATACAAAATGACTCAATACCACATAAATTGGATGTGATCCTGGAAGAACAACAAAAAAACAAAATCACTAGGGAAAACTAAGGGAATCCCAATAAAAGTTGGTTTTAGTGCATTATGGATTGGTTCATTATTTAAGACAAATATTAACAATAGCGCATCTAAGTAGAACGAATACTATGAGAATAGGAGAAATTATTGGTTTCCCCTCTTATAATCATTGGTTGGATAGGAAATTAAGTACTCTCTGTATATCTTCACAACTCTTCTGTAAACCCAAATCTATTATGAAATTAAAAACTTTTTATAACAAAGACATTATAATACCTTATGCCAGTGTATACAAAATGGGGAGGTTGTTATTACACCATTTTAAATTTCACTCTAGGTTGGCATTTTACCCTTGAAGAAAATTGAGTGAAAGTTGAGATCAATATGTGGACATATGTCCCAGTGCAGTGTGGCTAAATGAGGGCAGTTCTAAAAAGAACAGGATAAGAGATGTTCCAGCTAATACAGAAGATAAATATTCCAGATTTTACAGTTACAGAATGATGTGACAAGTCACTTTATCTCCTCTGCTCTTGACACTTGATATTCAAAATTACTTGGTCTTTCAAAAATGTTTAATTATTCAACAAAATGAAGTCTCAAGCATGAAGTGAGGTCATAAAGAGCAGAAGGAACCTAGAAAGGAGTGAGCACACAGAGGCAGGTTAATAATGATGCACAGCCCTGCACTTCTCAAAGTTCTCTCTGATACGTACTCACATCAGACCAGCAGAACATTCCTCTCTGTGGGGTCAATGGTGTCATTCCCTGAGTGTTCACAGCTAGATATGGCATGATAAAGGTGGGATGTGAAACTCAATTTTAAGGACTTCTAGGAAACTAAGAGTTAGCATATTTAAAATACATTCCATGCTTTTTGTGGCTGTAGACATTAGTTCTGATTGAGCCCGATGGTCTCCTGGATAGTATTGATTAACCTCCTCCAATCAATATTTCACAAGAAGAATAGTAATGTTGGAGAACTGCCTTGGGGTTTCCAGCTTATCATTAACATTTATGAGGAGAAAGGTGAAGGAGCTAGCTAGCAATTATCAATGCACCACCTTGTTCTACATCTCTGGCAAGAACCTGACTGCTCAGATCATACTACATTGTTAGCCATAGGTCCACAGTCACACTGAGACCTCAGGCTCTGGCACAATTCAGCAAGTGTTATTTACTGCTGCATCGTTTGCTAGAAAAGAACAGGAAACATTATTCTGGAGCTCGGCATGATCTTAAATAGCTTGAAGTCTTTGTGTCCTTTTGTTCCTTGTCACCTATAATAATTACTTGAACTAAGAATATTGTGAGAAACCATCCTAGTGACTAGAATTGGTAAGATGAATAACACTGTACAAATACTAAACATATATTTCAAATATTTGTAGGATTATGTCTTTGAAATATTAGTAATCTTGCTGTGTTATGTTTATAATATATTTATCATTTTTGTAAAATTTACTTGTATAGATTTAAATTGTTATGTCTAAGCCTTAATCCTGTGTGGATTCAAATATAAAACAAAGACAAATTTTAAGGAAGAGAAACTATATAGAACTTGGATACTTAAGGTGATGTTGGTAATGGATAGAAAAACCACCAAAAATGAAAAAATCTGGAATTAAATCATGACCAAATTATTATTTTTTTTTACATAGAAAAGTCATTTTCATAAGAAATCTTTCAAGAACGTATAAAATGCAATCGGTGTGAATGATGCCATTTTTCCTGTTAATTATCATGTTTGCATTTGCTTCTCATGGTAAAAATCAGAATATAAAACTGAATAGAAACCTATATTTATTATCTATCATAGACACAGATTGTTATCAACATATGTCACACACAATTCCTCTTATGTTGCTCTTTTTAGAAGGAAGAATGAGGAATGAAGACAATTTAATTGTACCACAGCAGAATCTGCATGCAGGTTGAACGGAGTCATGCTTTTCAAACCTCCAAAGATAATAATGCTAGAAAAACACCAGATCCTTAAAGGGAATACTCTTACCTCTCTGTTGGGTAAAGTAAGGTTTCCACTGTAAGTTTTGTACAATATGCATAATAATAATGAGAAGAGAATACTTTGCTTCATATAGTATCTTAGGTTTGAGTTTAATTAACCACTAGGTTTTGGTATAATTTAAGAAATGCTACTGAAAAATATTAAGAAATTACATAATTTAAATATTAGTCATTATTCTCTTGTACTTAATATAAAAATGAGCAATGTTTCTGAAGCTTACATGCTATTTTCTTTATATTTGAAGAGTTTTTTTAAATGACATTATGATTTTATTTCAGCAACTCCACATGCATTTGTTGTTGTTATTGTTTACATGGTTTTTGATACAATTATCCTGGTGTTCTATGGCTTCAATAATTTTGCATAAAAATTTATGTGTTTTGTTCAACAATATCAAAATGTTTCAAAATATTTGAAAAAACTAGCAATTTTCTCTAAAGTAAAACAATTATGCACATGCTTACAAGAGCAGAATTGATTTACTGCTCTAGGATAACATTTTAGACATGTATCAGTTGTGTTTAAGATATTTGAAAATTCATCCACTCATCCTCATGGGAATATCCTACCTGACAATGTTGGTGATATTCCTCTCTAAAGCAGGTGATTGTGTACTACAGGTACATTATAAGTGATTTGAGAGCATTATCCTAAAAGTAATTCATATTGTAATTGCTGGTTAATTTAATCTTTGGAAAGAACATCCTAAAACATAAAGCCCATGAGATTTATCTTAGTTGGTGAGTGTGTTAGGAGAAATAGCCGTGTATGTAAGGCAAAAATAGTTGTGTGATTTTTCTACCAGGCCTAAAGACATCGAATCTTCAAACTCTATCAATCCCTTTCCAGCTTCTCTCAATAAGCAGCTCATGAAAGGGGTGATTTGTCTTCTGAGGTGCAGCCATAAAATAATTGGACTTTCTGTGAGGCTGCACATCTACCCCAGGCTGAGCACTGAATTTGAAGATTCGGGGAATGAAGAACATCCACAAACCACTTCCTGAAGATTGATATTTTTACTCCTATTTCCTTTATTTTTCTTTCTTTTTATTAATCCTTAGGATAATTTGAGAAAACAACTTTAATAAAACCCTCAGAAAAGTTACAAAGCCAAATCAATATTATAAATGACACATATAGATATCATAAGTTGAGATAGAAATAAGGTCACAAAATGGTAATGATAAAACCAATGTCTCTTTTTATAAATAATTCATTTTCATTTAGTCAGTTTTGTATTAGCTCTTTTATTAAGGTATTTTACAATATGAGGGAACTGCAAACTTTGATTTACAATGGTTGACTTTTATATAAGACATGTGAAAGAAAAGTACCCTTTGTTTTATCTTAGTGACTACTATTGGAAGAGCAGAAGTTCACATTTCTTGGTATTTTGTGTATATTTTAGCCCAGTTATATAACACAATTTTAGTTTTTTCTAACGTTTGATGACAATTTTTAATTTTCAAAAACTAAGCCACTTCTTTATCTGTGGAAAGCTTCATGGGTGGATAAAATTTCATTGTAAGTTTATGAGGAACTTTGATATTTAATAGAAAAGTTTTCTCATGAAAATGACTATTGAAAAGTGCTACAGAGGTAATGAGTCATAGAATTATAAATCAATGAATTTCAGAAAAAGAAAGTATTTCAAGATACTACAATTCAGCAATTCTTAAAATGTCTTGTTTAACAGCTTTCTTTGAGAATATGATTTAAAATCATGTTCTCTCTCCTAGAAAAATGCACAGGCCTACAATTTTTTGCATTCATTTCCAAAGTATTTGAAGCAGACCTTTGAAGTCTATTTCTGGATCTAATGTGGTAGATGTGGGGGTATTATTCCAGTTCCTCTTTTTATAGACAAAGGAACCCGAGTCCTCACAGTTTAAATGATTTTCTAAGGCTACACAACTACCTACAGCTAAAAGCAGGAAAGAAACACTGATTTTCTGGAGCTACCACTTTTTCTATCACACCCAATATTGCCATCAACTAGAAAGAAAGTTTCATGACAACTGAGCCCACTTTGCAACAACTTAAGGTGTTCTTCCTTACCAGAAACTGTATCTAAGTTCATCACTGCATGCTTCATTATGAATGGTGTGTGAGATGAGGACTCCCCAGTAAGGATGAGCAGCCCCTGACAGAGCTGGAGCTGTTCCAGTCTCCGGAACTTTCAGAGAGAAGGCTGGCTTTCCCAGGACAGTGGGAGAGTTGGCACAAGTGTACTGTCAGAGAGGCTGGATGCCCAGGCAAATGAGGTGCTTCAAGATCAAGTTACAGAGGGTTAGCTTTGCCCTGGTAGGTAATTTTGAGTGGGAAAGTCCATATATATATATTTTGACTATATTGCGCAGAAGCTTTATCCTCAACATAACTTCACTATTTGTCCAGATTCTCCCATTTGGACAAATAACACAAAGAGCCATAGTATTTGAAATTATTTACTTACTCATTGTCCAAATTTACAATTAGTGATTTAAAAAGAGTTTCATCCTCTGTGAACACATTCACATCACTAGGATTCCTTTAATTCTCTACAACTTCAATTTTCTCAACTCTGTTTCCTTGGTGTGATCCCTCTTTTTGTTTGTGTGCATGTTTGTGTGTGTGTGTGGTTTCACTCTACTTTCCTATTTTTCTCTCATCCTCTTGCACTTTTATAGACTTTTTTTTTTTTTGCCCTCTCTTGTAGATTCTCCTTCATTCTTTTGCTACATGAAAAATAATAGGCCAGGGATCACTCATGAAATACAAAATGAGAATTATGATATTAAAGTTCAAACTTCAAAAACAAAATCTATTTAAAAAAAAATGTTGAATTCCCTCAGAAGATCCTGAGCAACATGTGAGCATTAACATATTCATATATTCCCGGGGATAGTGTGACCCCAGGTAGCAACAATATGAGAGGAGAAAATGAAACACAGAGAAGTCTGTAAAATGTGTTTTCTTGAATCAGATACTACTGTGGGCACGTGTAGAGCTTTGGAAACCAATGTCATTATCAAACACAGGGAGGCACAGTGTATCATGTCTCTGGTGATCCCAACCAAGAGTGAGGAAGCCAGGGTATTTAGCCACAAAACTGCCAATCACTGGTTCAGGGATACTTCCAGGTAATCTGGACTCCAGGCACTTTCCACTTCCCCTCTGCTGCGCCAGATCCCTTGGCCAGAAAAGTCAGAGAAAAAGTCTCAGATGTTGAGGCTGGAGTTGTGGCTCAGTGGTAGAGAGCTTGCCTAGCATGTGTGAGGCATTGGGTTTGATCATCAGCATCACATAAAAAATAAATAAAATAAAGGTATTATGTTCATCTACAACTAAAAATAAAAACAAAACAAAACAAGAAAAACAAAAGAGTCTCAGATGTGTGTCCTACTTGGAAAGTACCAGAGTGGTATATGTTGAAGAGAAATGGGTACATCACTAATCGCAGCTGAAATACGTTATTCCTTAGTTGTAGCTCAGTACTTCTTAAGATATCTGAGTGTGACTTTCACTCTGATACAAAGTAAACATGGAGCATCTTATTTCTATACTTACTACCTCATGGAAGAAATTCCTTATATCTTCTGGTGGATTCTCACATACACACAGGTGAATCCAGTGATTCACAAGAGGATCCAATGAACCATATGCCCATTAATGGGCATAAGGGCCAAAGATTCAGGAGTGAACTTTATAGTTGTGTTAGCTGCTCTGGAAGCAAAGTGCAAAGCTATAGGCTTTGCAGTTGTCTGAACATACTTCAATTAATGATTGGATATTTATTTATTTTTTTTCATCCTAGAGTCATCTTTTAACTGGAGATATTATCATCACACAATTGTGAGAACTAAGAAAGAGCAAGTAGGGACAGGCAGGAGGGTGGCTTTGTGTGACTTAATAGATGTTATTTGCATCAACCCTTCTCTTCCTGGGTCTCAAGGTCAGGGTTTGACCACATGCTGAATTAAAATAATATTTTCCAGTATTTATTTCTTTAAACAAATAAAATGTCTTATTTTATCTTCTTTCATTTTATGTGCTCTATAATTTCTGAACTACGGGTATAGAGAGCTAGCTTAATTGGATATGTAGAGATCTGGATAGAAAATGAAAAAAAAAAAAAACATTGCCTAGAGTTTTGTTTTTATTTGTATGATAATGACCACAGTTTACTGGTTTTACTACTACTGCCCTGCAGAACTTCAATTTTTATAAGTCAAGTTAGTGACCTTTTATAACTTCAAAATCTTAGTGAATTGTCACTGAGCCTGGTCTTATTTTCCAGGATGACTCTATATTATCATGGGCCATGTCAACTTTGTGCTCTTTTTACAGGCATGCAGAGCGACAGATTGCAAGCACAACATCAACCAGCTCACCTGAACATTTCCCCTGCAGGTTTGCATCTAGCTGGATGGTTATGTTATTACAGAGAGAGTCCCTAGGAAGCAGGACTGGGACCCTGTCTGCATTACTGTGTCACCTCTTCACACCTGAGGAACCAGCCCATTCCCTGCATTCTTTTGTTTCTTGATGTTTCTGAACTTGCTTGTAATCTCCAAGCCAAGTTGGTGGGCAAATTTTCCCAAATTCTTTAATCATGTTTTCCTATGAACTTATACATTAGTAAGCTTTATAGTCTGTTAACATGTGGATGTATTTCCTTAAATGCTTATTTATGAAGCACATAAACTCAGTTAATGTAAATAAATCCTATCAAAGAAAGGTGGTCTGGAAACTAATCAGTTATTATCTAATTTATCTTTTTTTTTTAACAAACATAACAATTTAAATATATTTCTAAGAGGAGCTTTGCATAATTAGCAGAAAATTGAAGTTTAACTAGAGTGAAAACAAATCACGCATATGCGTTACTTAAAAAAGATTTACAGGACACCATAATAAAAACTTTAAAATATGTTGAAAGGCATCAAAGAGATAATAGCTATTAAGAAATAAATAGGGCCCCAGGGTCTAAACAGGTAACATTTTCCCAAATCAGGCAACAAATAATTAGAAAAAACTGAATTACTTTCTTTTCTTTTCTTTTTTTTATCTGCTAAAGACAACTACTTTGTACTTGTTCATCACAACACAAAAATTAAAGGCCTAAAAATCATTTGGTGAAAAAGTAAAAAAGATAACTGGGGGAAAAAAAGATAACTGAGTGGTGCTTTATACATCATCTAATCTATATTCTTTATTTTGAAATTGTTTCCTGCTTTGTCCAATATAGTGGTCACAGTCCACTGCTACATTGAGAATTTGTTTTGTTTGTTTATTGTTTTGCTTATTGTTTTGGTGCTGGGTATTGAACCTAAGTGCACTTTCCTACTGAGTTATATTACAGTCCTTTAAATTTTTTGAGTAGGGTCTCCCTAAGTTGCTGAGGCTGCTCTTCAACATGTGATCCTCCTGTCTCAGGTTTTTGACATGCTGGGATTACAGGTATTTGCCACCATGTCCAGCCACACATTTGAAATGGAGCTAGTCCAAACCTGTGCCGTGAATATAAAACATCTTAAAGTTAATTAAAAGAAATGTGGCCAATATTTTTCCTATTGATCACATGTTGACAGGATAATATTTTGGAAAAACTAGATTAAATAAAATGGATTTATAAAGTTAATTTTAACTCTTATTTAACCCTTTTAAGAATATGGATACTAGAAAATTTAAAACCATATATGGGACTACATTGATATAGACAAGTGTTTTTTATTTTATTGTAATCAAAAGTTACAATGTAAGCCAAATGAACAAAATATGTATGTATGTACTGTGGAGACCTGTTGGCAATATTCTTAAAAGCTGAAGAAGTGTTGGTCACAGTGTAATGCTAAAAAATGTCAACCAGAAGCTTTGGTGTCAGAGGTTTATCCAGCCCATATGACAACTCTAGAAATTACAAATATGTTTCACTGGGACAGCAAAGATGTTAATAACTGGCATGTGCAACCAGGCTAGTGTGCAGAGATCTGCTACAGAGCTCTTTGAGCAAAGAAATACCATAAAGAAGGAAAATGTATGGACTTCATATTTTATATAAGGAGCCTATTACAAGTGTCTCAAATTGTCATCATATTTTGACTCACTGGGAGCCAGTGAGAAGAAAAACAAATGTAAAGATTTGGATAGTTATCCATTTACAAGCGTACGTAAAATCTGTGACAACAAAGATAAAAGCCAGGTGTGTAAGTGGAAGAAAAATGATACCAAGGTTACATGAAATTGAACAATCTTTTAGCACTTTTGGAAATGAGCCAAAGTGTTTTCATTTCAAAAATATCCTTGAGTCTAATAAAAATAACAAATTATCAACAACAACCAAAAGGGCCAAAGTCATGGATGAATACTTTAGTATTTTTCTCGATGTATTTGGAGGGGTTGGGATGGGAGGGACATAATGTTTTCAATGGACAGTTTGAGCATTCATTCCCTGTCATAACAATCAGTTCCAATGATTGAACATAGCTGTGTAGAAAATAAATGTAATATTAAAAAAGAAAACATCTGATCAATTCCTGTCCCTTGCTGTTCTCACTCTTTTACTCACTGCCTTAAAAATGAGTCAACGAGGTCTGGCAGAAACAATCTTCCAGAATACCTAGCTGAACTTCTCAACAATACTTCAGAAGTTTGTTTTTGTTTTTTTTCCTCTTTCTCTCTCTCTCTCTCTCTCTCTCTCTCTCTCTCTCTCTCTCTCTCTTCCATTCTTTTTTATTATCTTAAACCATCAGAGGAATTTTTCTTAATATTATTTTTTTATAAATAATATTTTTGATATTTCAATTTTCACCTTTTTATATTTCATGAAATTTTACTTGTCTAAAGAAAGGGAGCACTTGAAGTAACCTCCTCTGTCTCACTTCTTTGTCTTTCTGACCCTGAAAGCTAATTTTGCTGTTAACCTACTCTGTGTACCCTAGAAGGCTCTTGTGAACACAGGAGAGAGGGTACGGGGGAGGGAGGGAGAGAGGGACAGAGAGAGGGACAGAAAAATTGCCCTTTCGAAACATTAAGAATATAAATCACATAACAACTAAAAATAGCAATAGTTACGTTTATACCATAATTTCCATATCTACCAGGGAGCATTCTAAGCTTTCTTTTTTTTTCATTTTTTAGATTTTAAATTTACTTCATTCTTCAGATTATTACATGAGTTCTATATTTGTCAACTTAAAGATACACCGGTCAAATATTAAAAAGTCTAAGTAACATCCTGGAATGCACTGAAAACAAAGCATGCTGAGACTGCCAGAAGTTATTATATCAATAACGGATACTTGGGAGATGCATCCAGTGAGTCCACTGATCTGGGGGGCAATCCAGTTGTGGAATTTGTGTTGGAAGCAACTACTATATCCAGCTGAAAATCAAGCCTAAGATTTTTATCTGATTCTCTTATTTTTATTTAAGAAAGTGTTAAATAAACATTTCCCCCCTCTCCTAAGCTATGTGCATAGGGTTAGAAAATGGAGAAGTTTGAAGTTCTGAGAGATGAGTTTGCACAGAAAGGCTTTGTGATTGGCAGAGGTGCCCTGCAAGGTCTGCAGATGCAGGCTGAGCTAGTCTACAGGAGCATCAAGAGAGTCTGAAGACACAGTGCTTGACAAGCATTACTCTCTTGTAAAACTTGCCTAAAATTATATCAAAAGACATAATTGAAGTCACGTGTTCCCTTGCACCATTTCCATGAAGGTTCCTGTCACCGAAGAGATTAAAATCAAGAGGCATCTTTACTATTATGTTAAAGTGTCTAAAACATATGTAAGAAATATCCTTCACAGAAAGAGTTTAAAATTGAGGCATCATAAGATTCTATTTCAGTAGCTGTGAATCTTTACTTTCTCCCTTGATATATCTGACTCTAATGCCTCAGATTCTTATACACAAAAAGGAGCAGTAGATTTTAAGAAACCCTAGGTACTTTTTTTTTCTTCCACAGCATTTCTACAAATAATATAATTTTTTCCAACTAACTCACTGATGGTTTATTAACTTTTAAAGCAAAATACATAAATGGCTTTGCTTATGGATTCATAACTATCATTTCAATGCTCTTTAAAATCATTAAAAGTTTTATTGGCAATTTTGCTTCCATTTTTGATGCTCTTTTAGCTTGTTTTAAATTCCAGATTCAAATCCCAGAGGTTGGGACTTTCTCATTTGCATTAATATACTTTCTTCTTAAATATATAGGAGACTGACTAAATTAATGTGTAAACAGCATTGGGGCCCTAGGGGCTCGAGGCAGGAACCTAAATACTCTGGGAATAGAACATTTTCAGAACGTATTCTAATTCCTAATAGGTGTGCACACTAATGTGCTAACAGATGACAAACACTGTTTCTAAATCCTGAATAACCACTTGAATTAATATGTTCAGAGACCAGAGTGTAAATTGGAAACAACCAAAACCTTTTAGGGTCTAGATTTTTACAAAAATAAATCAAGATTATTTTGGATGAAGAGTAAATAAGAGGAAATTGCTTTCACATTTCAAAAATTGGATTTAAACATTCTTATATTTTCAGATAATAACAGGATATTACAATTAAGTTAAATACTTCCACTCATGCCAAATTTCCCAGGATTGTTTTCCTGTTGTTCTGACAGTGATAATATCTACTCATCATGTGTTCTAGTCTATCAGTTTTACCGTACTTTTAAGATTATCCCACCTCACTCTAAATTTGAGTGTGCACACACATGCAAAAATACACACACAAACTAATCAAAGACATACTTCTTAATCTTTTAATCTAGCCCCACCCCCAACCCCTTTATTTTTTCCTGCCACATCAATTCTTCCAAAACTACTGTTTGGATGTGGATAATGTTTTAGGCCTACTCTCAGGAAGCCTGCATATCCATGCCTGTCTCCCCAGGCCCTTCTTTTGTGCTAGGAGACAACTAAACTGAAACAAAACTCATGTCAGTGAGTGAGTGGATATGTAGAGTTCACGTGATTCCCTGTTTGCTAACTTACCATGTGAAGATGATAAATTATCAGAGACTTCTTCAACTTTCTCAATATTGGCAGGGTATAGGACCCATATGAAGATTGAAATTTAATTGGTACAGAAAAATGAATCCGAAACTTGAATGCATGGAACTCACTGGAGGGTGGTCATTTGTTAAGTCACAGATTGCTGCTGCACCTCAGTTTCTGATTGGCAAGGTTGGAATGGACCTGCCATTTACCCATCAAATACACACCAGGGGATGTTGGTGTTTCTGGTCCTGGGGCATACTGTAAGAACCATGGGTGTGGAGTCAGACTTGAGATCCACAGCTGATTCAAATCTTGCCTAATGTTATGGAAAACCTTTGTCATTTCAGAACGATGCTACACTACTTGTATAGGTATTTTATCATTACAAAATTAGAATGAAATATTGGAAACACTATTTTCAGAATGACCTTGGATCTTGTGGGAAAAAAAAATGTGAAAGCCCATTTGTAAGCATGAGATAGATTCCCAGTATACTAATTAGAATGTATGTATAAATACTGTTCCTGCTATGGGGTAGTCACAATACAGAAAATGTATTTACCTTACCAAAAAAAGGCAAAACCATACTAGCTGATCAATAGGATAAAAATGCATTTGACTACAATATTAGATGTCTTTAAATTTCACAATTTATTCTTAATTGACAATTAATAATTGCTACACATTTTCAGATAGACAGGAGACATCAGCTCCACATACTTTTTGATGGAGCTCCCAGACCAAGAAACACAATGATGTTCAATGTGATGTTCAAACTTTAGTCATTTAAATTGGGAAAAGACAAATGAATCTTTGGAGACCCAGTACTAAAAGTGAGTGACAATTTCCATAATCCTTGATTGTGTCTAAGAATAAATATGATCTTGGGAAACAAGTTCCACAGCACTATTTATATAGGACAACTACATTTCTGACTACTTCCCCAACCTAGAAACATAAATTTTAGTAAAATCTTCAAAAGGGTGGGGGGAAACAATTGGAATTATTGCTTCAAATATTAGAATGCAATCTAGCTTGGGAAAAAGTTCAAAGGCTTCTATGCTACGTGTTATTGAGACAGTGAAATTTAATACCTAAAACTGCACACAGGGAATAAAAGGAGTATTTTTATCAAGAAAATATGGACTAGCTGGAGAGGGAGAACACCTAAATAAAATGAAAGGAATCAACAACACCAAAAGCCCTTAAAGATACGCAATTGGTTAGAAGGAATGCTAACAGGGCAAACCAAACTAAGTGAAGCAAATTTGAGCAGCATAAGGATGATTCTTTGTACTGACATTAATCATTTTGAATGACAGATCCCATAAGAGAGGGATGAGAAGAAAAGACATCGTCTCCTGACTGCTACGGTGCACCTGACAGTGTGCCTGGTTCCATGGAAAGGAATGTGCTTCCCTGAAGCATATCATTTGGTTGTCATTATTAACTCAATGAAAAATTTTACCTTCTTCTGACCGGCTTACACGTTAGCATTCTAGAGAAGATATATTTGTTTATTCCCCATATCAATCTATCCAGATCTGTATTATTACATGCACTTATTCCACAAATACTGTATTGACATTCTCCACTTTACTAGATCTTCTACAAAGAAAGGTGTAAGCATGTGCCTTAGCCTCGAAGAGGTTTTATCTTGGCATAGGGAACGATGTACCTTCAATGGACTCTGTGGCATTTCAGTGATATTGAAAGTATGTGCCACAAAAGCAACAACACATCTTGGTGACACAATCAAGAACTACTTCATGACAGAGGAAATATTCATTCCAAACCTATCAAATTATCTAGCTTAACGTGAGAAGATGGAGAATATGAAGTTCAGTTCTAGATATTAATGCTGACATTGACATGATATCACCAGCTGTTTCGATGCTCTGTCAATCTTTCTGCCTTTTCTGGTTTGTGTAATTTTTATGAAATTAATAAACATTAAATAGCATTGAAGCAAACAAAGAAACTAAATTCAAGGCTAAATGTAAAGGAAACATTAAGGTGATATTAGTTTACAAGAGTTAACTGGTAGTAGATTCAAAATATTCAGTCTTGGGTAATAAAATTGAGACAAAACAGTGAATCAGTAAGTGACTGAAGAAGAAAAGATGAGCTATGTAGTTTTGGGTCTGTTGAGCTGGGTTGTGCCATCCTGTGGGCCCATCTATAGTAGGATGAAAGCAACACTGGGCAGAGGAGCTGGGATGGGGCTTGGGAAATACCTCTAAATGTGCTCATCGGATTCATGACACATGTTCAATGTTTGATGGAGATAAACCCAGAAATACTTTGAAGATGGAACCTTGGCAAATTCTTGCATAGAGGATTCAAATCTTACACAATGTCTGTTTGATATTCACTCTAAACTTATCAAATAATCAATGCTGTTATATACTTTTTTTTAAATTTAGGACTGACAATCCAGTATTAATTTTGTACAATTCTAAAAAAAAGTTTTGTTTAGAAGGAGGAAAGTATATTGCCTCCTCCTTGGTGAAAGCACACAGGTTACTAAGTACTTCTTAATTCCTCATAACAGTACAATAAAAAAAAAAAACCTGACTTTAGCCCTGGTACAAACTCCTTTGCTGTATATTTTAAGGCTGAACAAAGAGCAGCAGTGGGGGTTCAGTATGCTTACATTTAATTTCTGCCCTGAGTAAACCCATGGAGGTTTACTGACATGTCCCATACTCACCCACTGTTCACTCTCACCCATAGTTAGAGTGTCAACTGCCAGAAAACAGAGACAGGAGACATTTCTCCCTAGAGTGAGGGTCATTTCAAGTGCTCAGCCTCAGGCACCTGCTGATTTTGTTTTATAATTTCTCAAGCAAAATAAGCGGATATTGAATGAAAGGTTTTAATTCTGTTTGTTGAAATAAACATTTGAGTTCCAAATAATAGAGCCCACAAAATCATGCAGTAGGGATTAATAATTTTATGTTTATACCCACTCCCCCACATGTATATTTTATGTGGCTGAGTTTAATAAACTAAAATCAACAGAATATGGAAATATAGCTGATATTTTTCAATTTTCTCAAGAAAATACAACAGGATTCAATACTTTTTATTAATGTTGAAGTTGTGCTATTTGAAAGGGTCTCTTTCCATCCCTCTACCCAACTGAAGCACTTCAGTTGTCTTTAGATCAGTTTAGTCAAGAAACTGAAGTTCTATGATTGTTAAAATAAACTACATGAAAATACTGGTGTATTATACAGAGCTCCATTTAGAAGTGATACATAGTTTCTCTGGCTCACTTTATTCACAAGTTCAAAGTCAAATAACAATTTTTCCACTTTCCATAAGATTATGAATTTTTTTTCTACCTGTAATACTAAAGAGTATATGCAATATAACACAATATAGAGAGGAAGAAAATGTGTAATGTGACTCATTCTAATTATCACACTCATTAATATTCATAAGTAGA